AGTCATTATTAGTACCCGTTTTCTATAAGTCCTTCAGGAACGTGGAAATCATATCCCGACCTCGTTTTAGTATTATTTTCAAACCTTTAGCATTTAGTACTTTTATTCCCCTTAATCAATTATTCATTAGCCTTAGCTTTACAAAGTGAAGATAGATTACGGTAGGTTGACATTGGCCTCTATGGTTCGACAATCTTTTATATTACTTCGATATTTCCGTGCACTTGCGGATGCATCATACCACTGATCCTTGAATTTTTCTTCATCTCTTGTTGTGACCATCAACAATATCTCTTCATCTTCACTCTTTGCGAACTTTGCATCACTTTCTTGATTCTTTCGCTTTTATGGATAATCACTAGAATAATGACCATACTTCTGACAATTATAACACTGAATGTGACTCTTATTAGGTTTTCAACCACCATCACTTCATCTATTTGCAACACCACCTCTTTGGTTTCTTTGGTATGGTCTTCTCTTATTCGACGCATTTTCTTCGTGCTGGTTTCCTCTACCAATTCAATTGTTGTAGCCACCTCTATCTTTTTTGTCGAACCACTTTCCTTTGCATTTCTTATCTTTTTCTAATTGAGTATGCAGAGTCACATCACTCTTCGACTTGCCTGCAACTCTTTCAGCCATTCTTTGTTCATGAGGTTCAAGTATCCCTTGAAGCTCTTCTTTTGAAAAAGTTGACATGTCCTTCGACTCTTTTATGGTAACTACCACATGATCAAACTTTGGATCCAATGATCTCAAGATCTTCGAAACAACTACTCTTGTTGTTAACGTCTCTCCACAAAGCTTGATTTGATTCACTAGTTTCGTAACCCTGGTGAAGAAATAAAAAATGCTTTCACTATCTTCCATCTGAAGTAATTCATACGTTCTTTTGTGAGTTTGTAACCTCACATCTTTCATCTTTTCTGCACCTCCAAAAGATTTCTTAAGAATCTCCCAGGCTTCATTTGCAGATTCTACATCACTAACCTTTTCGAAATTGTCTGAGCTGACACATTGATGAATTATAAAGAGAGCTTTATAATTCTTCTTCTTCTTCTTCAATTATTTGTATTCCGCATCTTCCTTTTCTGAATCTTCTTCATCAAGTGATTCTAATTCATATTTCACAAGATCCCAAAGACCTTGAAAAGAAAATATAGCTTTTATCTGTTTACACCAATTCTCATAGTTATCGCCTTTCAGAATCAGAAGATTTGATGGAAATTTTCCACTTGTATAATTCATAGCCATTGATTTTCTTCTTCTTCCCTTGATCGCTCAATCAGAGTTCTTGATACCAGATGTTAGAAATCCACCAAATCCTATGTTGAATTTCTATCAATCTTGATGAACAAGATTGTTATCACCACACAATGACAATGAAAATAAAATAAAATTAAAGAAGAAAAGATTTAGGGTTTCTGCAGAGTAACTCTCTGTCCACAAATTGTGAAAAACTTTCTTATTCACTTGCAACTGCAAATTCTGTGAATACAACTTGATTATATAAATAGGGGTTACTCTCACTACTTATAAATTTAAGTTAGATTGCTCTCTAAGCTAAAGTCCAAAATTAAAAAAAAACTCAAAATATCTATTTTGGATTTAAATCAAATCTATCTATTTTAGATCTATAAATTATTTTCACACTTCAATAGACTAATTCGACACACCTTATACCAAACAAAAACCTACATCGACAAAAAAAATTACACTTTCAACAACTATGAACTAGTTTTATCAAGAGTGATTTGTTATTCTTTATTTGTCCTGTTACTATAGAAGTAAAGAATTTATACTTTTATTTTATCTTCAAAAAATAAATGGTTGAATAGAACATTTCTATGAACTATAAAATTATCAATTGTCACAAAACTCCAACATTAGCAGCGGCGCTATTAATTAAAAAATATAGAGAGTGAAGATCATGATTAAACCTTTAATAGCAAATTTTATAATTTATTTAGTAAGCTAGAGAAAGAAACAACGTTTTAGGGCGGTATAGTAGTTTATTTTTTTGAAGACTTCTTGCTATATGAAGTTTAAAAAACACTTAATGTTCTTATTCTACCCTTTCTTTAATCCTAAATTACATCTCTTATATAATTAGCAAAAACATTATATATAAATATAGCTACAACCTTATAGCACAATGAAGCCATCCTCATCCCGCAGAAAAATATAACAAGTCATTTTTCACTTAAAAAAATGTCATTGTTACAAATTTTAGTCACGAGTCTTACGCTATTAATCATCCATCAAACCACCATTGCTTCATCTACTCTCGATCTCACACAAGGTTTCACCACTATCTCATTAGATAACTCAAATTTTGTTATTCAAAAACCCTACAATATTCCAATAAATCAACGTTACATCTTTTCAAATGGAGTGCACCAGTTCTGGATATATCCCACCGACAAGCCTTTCACCAATGAAACCAATACTCAACCACGAACCGAGATTCGAATCAGTGTAAGCCCCATTTATATGATATAATTAATAAAATTTTATTGAATAATTAATGTATCTGATCAGAAAAAATATCTGACATGATAATTTTTCTTTTGTAATTGCAGGGACACGACTATACATGTGGTATATGGCAATTTGAAGGGTATGGTTATATTCCCAGTGGCACAAGTGGGGTGTGTATTATGCAAGTGTTTGGTGGAAGTCCTTATGCTACAACCACACAACTTAGGATCTACAATGGTTCACTTACTTACTATGAATCTCCTATTTTGTCTCAAAATATCTATGATAGATGGTTCAAGGTGAATGCTATTCATGATGTTGGTGCTAACAATGTTAAGGTTTATATTGATGATGTTCTTACGTATGATGGAGTTGGTCATGGAGCTAACACTCATTATTTTAAGTTTGGGGTTTATTTGCAAAACGATCCTTCTAGCTGCGCAGAATCTCGTTGGAAGGATATTAAAGTTTTACGAAAATAGATAAGTTATTTCGTTAGGTGTTTCGTCATTAAAATTGAATAGGACAAGACAAGCTAAGGACTTGTTCACATCACATGTGTGACTTAATTTAAAGAGCTTACGTATGTTCTCTTTGATTACAATAAAAAATATATGATATTTTCTTTGTAATTTGATGTTTAGAACTTTATTTGTAATTTATTTTTTCTTCCTTACACACCGTGTGCTTGGTTATATGGAGTACTATGTAATTTTGTTCTAAGGTGAAGGTTGATTTAGTTGGTAAATAAATAGTTTCTTCACCAAAAAATATTGGATTTAGTAGACGTGAAATAACTCTTAATTTTGCTAGATAATTTGTTATAAGTGTTTGTGGAGTCTTAAAAATCTATTTTAAGTCTAATGAGTTCGAAGTGCTACTCACGTAAATTTTTATAACAAAAACTTCACGTTATTTTGTTGATTCTTTTTTAATAGACAATGAAATTAAATTGAGATAAGGGATATTCTCCCAATTACACTCAGTTATTTCAATTTAAGAAAGTTCAAAGGACTTGCATCAATAATAAAAAAGATTTTTGTTTGACACTTAGTATTCTTTTATATTTTTGACAAAAATATTTAAAATATTTTCAGAATTCAGATATTCATATCCGAATGCACCTCACTTTTTACAAAAAAAATAAAAAGTGGTTTTGGATATGTATATCTGAATACACCTCAGAATCCATTAGAGTCTTAGACTTTGGAATTATGGGTTCTAGTTTCTCGGAAACCTTAGACTTTAAGATTTGTGGTTTCAATTTTTCCAAAACTTTTGATTCGATAATATTTAGTTCTGACTCATTCAGAACCTCAACTTTGTCATCAGCAGATACAACACAAGAAGAAAGTCCTTTATGAGTAAAACTAGGAGAAAGGGGTTCTGCAGATTTAAACCAAATATCAGATTCTAAATCAACGGACTGTTTAGAGCAACTAAGACTCTCTTCCTTGCTTATGTTAATACCATAGATCATAGAAGAAACTTTAGTCTTGTTAAAGCCAGAAATCACAAACTCCTAAAGAGCCATTTCATAATCAGTGAGAGGTCTGTTAGACATATAATTTAATAAGGCAATACGATCTCTTTCTAATTTGTTAATCTTCTTTTTGGAAGATTCTATATCAACTTTCAAGAGATCGTAATCCCTTTTTAAATTTGTCAACTGTGTGGCTTTATCTTGATAACGACTCATAACTTATTGAATAAAGGAAATTAAATCTGAACGAGATAGTTGAGAAAAAAAACCCATCTTCTTCAGAATCTGAGCCAGATTCTGAGTCAAATTTTGTGTTTGAAGATGTTGTAGTAATCAAGGCCAGATTGGCTTCTTCTTCTTCATCTTTATTAGATTCTTCCTCTTTGTTAAGTTCATGTCATGTTGTCATGAGACTCTTTTTAACCTTGTTTCTGAAGTTGTTCTTTTAAAAACTTCCTTTCTTTGGTTGGTTTTTCTGCAGATCTGGACATTCAACAATAAAGTGACCAAACTTCTTGCAGTTGAAGCATCCTTTTTTATCATCTTTGTTAATTATGGAGCTTGTTCCCACGAAGCCATTACCTTTGCTAGAGAACCTCATGTTCTTCTTATTAGCCAGATACTAAAATCTCTTTATTATAAAGGACATTTCTTCATCTTTTGATTCTTCGTCATAACCTACTTCATGAGTGGATTCTTCAGATCTCTTTATTAGTGAAGATTTAGCATTATGATCAACAAACTTCAAAGCAAGAGACTTTAACTTCTGAACAGGTTCATCTCTAGTTAGCTCTTTCTCATGACTCTGGAGATTGCTAATTAAGCTTTCTAGACTTATGTTGTTTAAGTCTCTAGCTTCTTGAACAGTAATCACTTTAGGTATATACTTGACAGGAAGAGTCCTAAGAATCTTCTTGACATGATCAGTAGTTGTATAAATTCCGTTCAACACTTGAAGAACAGATACAAGAACTTGAAACCTTGAGAAAATGATTTCAATGTGTTCATCCTCCTTCATTTTAAATAGCATATATTATTGAACCAAAATATTTTCTTTAGTCTCTTTAACTTGTTGATTTCCTTCATAGGAAGCACGCAGAGATTTGAAGATAGTTTTCGCTGTAGATTTTTCAAGAATCTTGAGATACTCAGAATGAGGTAGATTATCTATCAAGAATCGTCTAACTCTGTAAGGCTTTCTATATATATTTTTCTGAGTAGGTGTAAGGCTCTTTCTATCAGCCATCGTACCTACTTCATCGATTGCAAAAACAATTCCATCTTCAAGAATATCCCATAACTCATCATCAAGACCTTTGATATGAGTATACATCTTACTTTTCCACCATCCAAACTCAGTAGAATTTCCACTAAATGTTGGTGGTTTGGAAACATAATTTTTCTTCTCAGATGTACTAGTCTCAAAATTGTTAATAACTTTAGGATCAAACATGGTGTATTTCTCTCAGGATCTTTTCTATGCCCATGTTAAGTGTAGATGCACAGACTGTGCTCTAATGTCAACTGAAGATGAGAAAAAAACAAGAAAGGGGAGTTGAATTGTGTTGACTTTTATTCTTTTTCCCTTTAAGATCTGTTATCAGATTCTAATTATAATGTTAAGAATATGATTTAGAATCTAATACATAACAAAAGAATATTGTTGAATAGAAATAAAGAAGAAAGCAAGATAACACGCAAGCAATTATCCTGGTTGGATTCGGTAATGCTGACTATGATGTGGATAGAATTGGAAGAAAATCTACTAGTGGAGACTATTAATTCATATATGAAAAACTTATATCATGGGCTAGTAATAGACAACCAACTATTACTTTGTCCAAAACAGAAGCAAAATACATATTTGCTGCTAGTTGTTGTACACAACTACTCAGAATGTAATATCATTTAGAGGATTATTAGATTTATGGGAGAATTATACCAATATTTTGTGATAATACTGTTGATACCTGACATAGAATCCTGTTCAAAATTCCATAACTTTTCACATTGAGATCAAACATCATTTTATTAGAGATTATGTTCATAAGGGTGTAATAGATATATAGTTCATCAATTTTGATTATCAATAGGCCGATATATTTACCAAACCTCTTACTTTTGTAAGATTTGATTTTATTAAAAAGAATCTGAACTTGCATTTTGTTAAAGATTAATGTTAGTTTCTGAATGAAGGACCATAGTCTGATTATTATCATAAGCTAATGTGATCAAAAACTCTAAACTAGCTTTTGATGTATAGTATACTCTAAAGTATTTCAGCCTCTGATGATAAGAATTGGATCATTTGTCTCTCATAGCATATAAGTGGAAACTCTTTTTATTTGAGCATCTTCTATCCACTTATGTGTCACTTATCTGAATAGTCCTTTGACTATTTTGGTGCTTTATTTTTGGAATTTTCTTATTCTTTAGATTGTGTTGCTGTTGCTCATATACTAAGCTTTGTTAACTGGGATTTAGTATTTTATTATGGTAAAACAGAATCATGTCATAACTCTCCCTAGTCAAAAAATTGTTTTTGAAGTTTTTTTTATGGCTAAATTTTTTGAAAACTGCTCAGAAATATCAAGATCAATGGTTAAATCTAAGGTAGTTAGTGACAAAATGATTATTTGTAAATAAGGTAAAAAGGACTCTTTTTTATTCATATGAAAATGATTACATAATTCAGATTCAAATGACAACAGATGTGCTTCAAAGAAACAAAAATCCTTATACTTGGTCGTCGTCACAACCACAAGTCACAAACAGATATACATTATCCTCATCTGCATCTGAATCCTTTGCAAACTCCTCAGTTGACTCCTTCTTATTTTTGGAGTTCTTAATTTATGTCTCTGAAGTTCTTCCCATCTTGGAGGCCGTTGTTGACATGCTTGAACATTCACCTTATATGGCTTTCTGAGCTTTTACAGCTTCAGCGGACCTGATCTTATCTTCCTTCTCTTGCTTCTTCATGACCTTGATAACCTCCTTAGCAAAGGCTCTCCTCAAATTCTTATCCTGCTTTGGCTTTCCCATAATTCTTGAAAAGAGGGGTTTGGAGGAAGAGATATGTGATCTTGTTGGTAATGCAAATATTCTTTTTATAGAAAGTGAGGGATAATGCCTGGACAATTTCGATCTCTATACAGAAATGGATGCAGGAGACAGGAGTTGGTCGCATTATTTATGCATGTCTTCCCAGTTCATATCCATGCTTATATGTGCTCAATTGTTAGAACCAAGGTTTGACCATCTTGAAAATTGAAAGATGATTTTATCAACCATACTAGTCAAACCTTTTTCAAAACCTTCTTGAACTAAGGGAGAATATGATTGATTTTAAATCATTTTTATTCAGAATTACTTTATCCCAAACATGTTTATTTTTATTCGGTATCTTTTCATTATGATGTTTTTATTTTTTGTTGATGGCAAAATAGGGAAAATAAGGATAAGTGTTTAAGCATCTAAATCTGATTGACTGATATTATTTATGCTTAAATTCGGAAGAATTGATTATTTATGCTTCATTGAAAAATTTAATCAACTTGTCTAGGACTTAGGGGGAGTTTACAAACCTCACCCTTAGGACTAAATTACTTAGAGGGAGCTTACATACGTCACCCTTAGAATTATCAAACTCAGCAAGATCTTACAAACCTCAAACCATAAAGTTGGAATGTTAATTAAATCAACAACCATTGTACTTAAATACTTGTGTTTGTCATCATCAAAGAGGGGGTGAATATTGGAATAAAATTGGTTTATACCATATCCCTTAAGTTTTGATGATAACAAAGTATTTAAAGAACAATTGGATAGAATAATGTATGTTCAAGTGTGCAGGAACAAAGATTATTATACTGATTAAAAGTCAGTTTTGATATTGCATCGAACATTGAAAGAGAAACTTTAAAGAGGCGGATTCTGAAGATCAGACTCTGAAGAATCAACTTTTGATTAAGTCATCTTCTGATGATCAGAACCTGGAGACTCCATAATCTGATCAAGTAAGCTTCTGAAGATCAAGTCAACCTCTAAAGACTCAAAGTTTGAAGGATCAAAAGCTAAAACTCAGACTCTGAAGGAGCAGAAGCTGAAGCTAGTCAAAGCTGAAGAACCAAGGAATTCATGGCAGGTCGTTATCATACTGTGAAGTCAATTTCCCTTCAACAACGGGTCATGTGAAAAATTAGCATAAAGTTGCAGAAGCCTGAAGATTCACAACTAATAATTCATTTTATAACAAAGGAGTTTCAAATGGGATTGCAACGACATTAACCATATCTTGAGGATTTGCAATTGATCTATTGATGCTTCTCTCAAAGACCCTATTGTGCTATAAGTTCTCTCCAATTACTCTTTCACAGATCTATATAAAAGGAGCTGGAGATTTGGTGAAACACACAACACTGTGCCTTGACAAGAAAATAGAAGTTACTCAGTCAAAACAAAGAGCACAGGTTAACTTAGAACTTCTTACTAATTATACATTATTAAAAGTTCTTAATACTTATAGTTTACAGTGTTGTATTATGTTTACACCTCTGATTGTATATCAAGTGTAATTATCATTCTATCATTATCATTTATCTGCTAGATAGATTGTAGGAAGTCTCTTGCTTATGTGCTTAATAATTTGGAAGTCTCTTGCTTATGTGATCGAGCATTGAAGTCTCTTGCATGTGTTCCTGAGCAACCATAAGTCTCTTGCGTATATTCTTGAGCAATCATAAGTCTCTTGCTTGTGTGCTTGAGCATTGAATTTTCTTACTTATGTGTTTAGGCATTGGAAGTCTCTTACTTATGTGCTTGAGTAACTTGTAATCAAATTTGGTTATAGTGAAAGTCTCTTGGAAGTGTAGAGGGATTGGACTACTCCTAATTTGTAGGAGGAACCATGTAATTACTTGTGTGTTCTCTTGCTCTCTTCTTTATTTCTATTCAACGTTATTCAGTTGATATCACTATCAGACACTAACTCAGATTATGTCCTTGTGACCAGAATTTGATAAGAGATTTAAAGAGAAAAATGAGAAAAGGTTAACACAATTTAACCTCCCTTCTTGTGTTTTTCTCACCTTCACTTTGTTGGCGAAGCTAAGGCAAGTATATGGTTTATTAGGTAGTTGGGTGATTTCGGACCCGACATGATGTTCTTGTAGCTTGTGTTATGAGCAGGTTGAAATTACTTTTCATCTCTTGGTGATTGTGATATGTTGAAGCGTTTATGGTATAAAGTTATTGGGTGACAGGATTGGCCTTTAGTCTTACCCAATCATTTGTCAATGATGTTAGATTTGGTTAGGGGTTTGTTGTAGTTATATATCTGGTTTGGTTACGATTTAGCATGCAGTGAGTTGGTCTATGTAGAAATCTCAGAACGATTTCATCTTTTTTCGGTAGCTAGTAAATATGGAAGATTTTTTTGATCAACACATTATCTATTTTTGAAAATGAGATCTCGGTACTCTTGCTCCTACCATCTGCATAAGTCATTAGTAGCCTGAGGTGTGCTTTTTTCCGTTGCATGGTTTGATGGTGCAAGAACACAGGAAAGAGGGGTTTGAATTGGGTTTCTCAAACTAAAATTTCTCGAAACTAAAACACAAATTATTAAAAGAAGAATAAAAATAAATGAACACAATTATTTTTATCCTGGTTTATTGTTAATAAAGTTAATTTAGTTTATCCGCTAAGGTGATTTCGCCTTCTCAATAAGGACTTAATCCAGTCCACCCGCCAAGATGATTTCGCCTTCTCAGTAAGGACTTAATCCACTATAATTAGATAGATTACACAACCACAAAGAGTAACTCTCAATGTCTTTTTGAGTATACAGACTAACACTAGTCACTCAAGGAACTAAACCTTAAAGACAAATTGTCAATGACTTCTTGAGTATACAGACTAACACTAGTCACCCAAGGAACTAAACCTCGATGAAAAACTGTCAATGACTTCTTGAGTATATAAACTAACACTAGTCACCAATGGAACTAAACCTCATTGAATTCTTGAGTATACAAACTAACACTTAGTCACTCAAGGAATAATAAACTCACTGTTGAATACAATTTTTATGTTTACAAGATTTCTTCTTTAAAGTAGATTACATAATATTTAATTACAAATAATAACACAAAAGTGTTAATCACGTTAAAGAACAAAAGTTCCTTGCTAGCAAGTTAACGAGCAACAACTCCTTGCTTTACAAAAATTACAGAGTTATTTTGGCAACGTTTCAACAACTTAAATCAGCGTGAGTTTATTCAAAGGTCTTCGATAATTCCAATTCTTCCAAATCTTCCTTTTATAGATGAAAAGAAATATGTTGGAGGGTAGAATAGGAAAACCAAAATTCTAGTTGTCTTCTTGCAACGGTCAGTGAGAGAGTGGTAGATAACCTAGTACAAAAGTATTGTCCTTGTGCCACAAAAACAATGTAGTCGAGGGAGGTGATGTTGTACCTTGTACTATTACTCGCGTGAAACCTTTTGATCTTATTTTCTAAACTTCAAAGGCTTTTGGATGTATAATAGTTGAAGCATGCGTAGAAGGATCAAAGCTATGTCTCCAAAACCATTTCATCAGAGCCTTCAGAACTTGTTCAATCCGAACCTTGTCTTCAGGGTATTCTACACTTGGTCTTCAGAGTATTTACAACCTTTTCTTCAGAGTCTTCAGAACTTCGTTCAACATAACCTTTTCTTTAGAGTCTTTATAAGTTGGTTTAGAGAACCATTGATCTTCAGAATCATCAGAACATGGGAAAGAGAACTAAGAATACACAGAGCTTGAAAATATATCATAAGCTCTACAACAGAGTCATAGTTAGAAGCAATAATACTAACATTCATTAGAACCGTTGTTTAAATATGCATTATAAACTATGCAACATAAACCTATGTTCTTCAGTATGTTGAATTCAGAATCTGATGACGTTTCACATCAATACTTTAGAATTGAAACCTGTTAGTAAAAGATACACACTAAAAACACCATTAGGGTACTAAATTGTTATCTAATCACCCACGTAATATTATCATCAAAACTCAAGGCCAGATACAAAACCAAATCTTGTTCTTAAGATCTCCCCATTTTTTATGATGACAAACCATGTATTTTGATAAACAATTTATACCCTTTTAATCATATAAAAACAATTCAGAGTTTAGCTAAACATCTCCCCCCGAGTTCTATTATCCCATAACTTGTTTTAATCTTGTTCAAGGTCTCCCCCCCCCCCCCCCCCCCCCGAGTTCAAGACTTAAAAAATTGAGAACATAACATAAAACAATCAGAATGAAGGACTACTTCCCTAATTGATATACCATCAGAGTCTAACTAGCGATGTAGAAATATTCATCTCAGATTCTAGCATGCTATCAAATTTTGATGAGGTGTCTGACCTGCTTTTATGATCAGAGTCTGAATAGTGTTGCAGAAATCTTCATTTCAAATTCTGGCTATACTTTCAGAATACTATGGTGCAGAGTCTAGTTTGGACTTTGTCACATCATTATCAGAGTTTGGTTGACAGTGTCAAAGCTTGATTGTATCCAAGCCTTATATCAAAGTCTTGATGGACTTGATATACCATCAAAGTCTAGTTGAATTTTCTTCTTGCAGAAGCTTTACAACTCACGACTTCTGGATCTCGAGCTTCTAAATCTCCTTCAGAGCTACCGAGTTTACATGTTAAGAAAATTTAGTGAACTTTTTCAAAGTTCCTGAGTCAAACATGTTAGTGGTAAAATCATTATATCATGTTTGGTAACAGTTTCTGAGATTAGATATATATCAAAATCATATCACTTTCTCCCGCTTTGTCGAAAATAAAAAAGATGAATCAGACAAAGAAAAACAATTCCATTAATCAAAAGACTAGGTTACAAAATTTTTTATAAACACAAAAGCATATTATTTCTAAAGACAAATGTAAAATAAAGGTCTAAGGATTTGATGGAAGTGGCAGAATCATAGCCATGAAATTCTTCATCATATTGGCAAGCGATGTGATAGAAGCATCATGT